AATAAATAAATCTTGGGGCTGAAGAGACGGCTCAGCAGTTAAGAGCACTGACTGCTCTTGCAGAGGACCAGGGTTCAATTCCCAGTACCCACGAACCATCCTTAACTCCAGTTCCAGGGGAATCCAAAGCCCTCTTCTGACCTCTGTGGCATTGCACGACACGGGTGCACTCACATACATGCAGGCAATACGCTCATACACATGAAATAAAAATAAAAAAAAAATTTTTTTTTTTTGTACTTCTTCCCTAGACCACTAATATTTGCTCTTATGTATATTCTGTGCTTTCTACTTTCTTTAGGATTAATTAGCACTTATTGTTCTGATTTGATTTGTTAAGAGAGATGTATTTCTTTTCTAACAAACACTTTTTTTTTTTTCGGTCTTTTTGAGACAGGGTCTCCCTGTAGCCCCAGCTGTCCTAGAACTCACTTTGTAGACCAGGCTGGCCTTGAACTCACAGGGATCCGCCTGCCTCTGCCTCCTGAGTGCTGGGATTAAAGGCGTGTGCCACCACACCCAGCCACAAATACTTTTAAAGTGGCAGTCTTTAACCTTAGCTACAAGTTGTAACTATCAGAGGATCTATGCCCTGAGAATGATATAACTGGTTTAAGATATGGGTTGGAAATAAAAAATTCCCAGAGTGATTCTAGGTTCACCTAAGGTAAGAACCACAGATATGAACATTAGTAATACTATTAAAAAATTTTAAATTCATTTCTATTTTATGGGTATGAGTGTTTTGCCTGAATAGATGTAAATACACCATGTAGGTGCGTTGTACATGGAGGTCAGAAGAGGATGTCAGATCCCCTGGAAATGGAGATGGTTGTTAGCCACCATGAGGGTGCTGGGAACTGAACCCTGGTCTTTGCAAGAGCAGCCAGTGCTCTTAACTGTTGAGCCATTATCTCTAGCCCCTAATCATATTGTATCTCTTGTTCTAGGTTATATGAGCAAGTTGACTTTCTAGTAACTAATTGAGCTAGACTCTTAGGATTTTTGACTATTTCTTTCTTTAAAAACATTCTTTAAAAATTATGTGTATGCGAGTATATGCCACATATGTGTGAATGTGAGGCCAGAAGAGGGCACTAGAGTCCCTGGAGCTAGAGTTAAAGGCAGATGTAAGCTGCTCAATCTGGGTGCTGGGAACTGAACTCAGGTTCTCTGGAAGACAGGAAGAGCTCTTCATAGCTGAGGCATCTCTACAGCCTGTGAATATTTCTGTAATTTCATATTCCACTTTTAAGTTTGGGGGCTGGTGAGATGGCTTAGTGGATGATTGCTGTGAGGCCTGAAGACCCGAGTTTGATCCCCAGGACCCACAGGGTAGAACAAAAGAATAAGTTCCCCCAAGTTGTCCTCTGATCTCTACATGTATGCTGTACAGAGGCATACAAGTATGCACAAGCACATACGAAAGAAAGAAATAAAATGTACTAAAGAAAGTTTTGACCATTATCTACAGCAACATTTACTTATCGTGTGAATGTATGTGTAATGAATACATGCATATGTTCATTAGGAAGCGCAAACAGGTTTCTACTTGGGACAGTAGGCTAGCCACTAAGAGATGCAGAAGACAGGAACTATCATTAGAGAGCTGGAAGTGTGATAGTCCTGTTATCAACTGCATGTTACTCTGAGCTTCAGTTTCTTCAGCGCTCACTAATAATAAACATATCTGCCTGCTTGGCTTAGTGTGATGACTGCAAGGGATGAGAGTGAAAGTGTTTTCTAATAAACCCATGAACATAAGATCCTGTCTATAGCGGGGAAAAAAACACTGACGAATACACGCAAATAAAAAACTTTTCTTCAGTATTCCTTAGCCTCCATTTTCAACCCCCTCCAGAAATAGCAATCTAAACATTTTATTTATTTTTAACATATTTAAAACTTGACATAGGATTTTTATATATTTATGTGGGACATGTGTGCATTGTGTAATGATGAGATCAGGATTAACTGGTTATTCATTATTTAAGACCTGTATTATTTCTTTGTATTAAAAACATTCAAAATCCTCTCTATTCATTATTTTGAAATACCCAATGAATTGCTGTCAACCACATTCATTCTACTGTGCTATAATATATTAGAAGTTATTCCTCCTAACTTCTCCCCAGTATCCATTAGCCATCCTCTTTCCATTTCTGTTTCCTTTCCAAGGTTCTGAAAATCACTGTTCTACTCTCTCTTTAATTTTTTTGAAGACAGGGTCTCAGTATATTGGCATAGCTGGCTTCAAACTTGAGATCCTCCTGCCTCAGCTTCCAGAGTGACTGGGATAATAGGCCCTACCATGTCTCACTAGTCTCTACTTCTTAAAAAAAAATTTTCCTGAGTTTTTGTATTTATGATGTGGGTGTGTATTTGTATGTGCAAGTGTGGGTCCGTGCATGTGGAGGTCTGAGAACACCTTGGATGAGGACAACTCCTTTCTCCCTTGTTTGAGGCGGGGTCTTTTGTTCAACACTGCATATATCGGGTTAGCTGGAATTCTCCTGTCTCCACCTCTTATCTTGTAGGAATTCAGGGACTACAAACGTATGCTACTGCATCTGACTATATTATACAGGTTTGGGGTATTTAAACCCATGTCCTCACACTTGGGTGGCAAGCACTTTACCCAATGAGCCATCTCCCCAGCCCTCTCCCTTTTGAGATCAACTTTTGCTTCCACATATAAGTGAAAATGTGTAGTATTTATGTTAAGTGATTTATTCTACTCAACACAGTGTTCTCTTGTTATATCTGTGATGCTGCAAGTATGTAATTAAAGAATGAAAATAGGCTCCTATCAAGGAGTAGGAATTATAACTTTAGTCTTTTCAATATTAGAAGCTAGAAGAAACTACAGAATATCTAAATTCTAGTGGAAAATTATTTCCAGCCTAATATAACAGCCCTCAAACTCTTGTTTTTAATTAAAATTGTTTTAGACATTTGGAATTTTTAAAAAAGATTTATTTTATTTATGTGCATTTACCTGCATGAGTTTATGTGTACCACATGCATGAAGGAGCCTGTGGAAGCCAGAAGAGGGCTTCAGTCCCCTGGAACTGGAGTTACAGACAGTAGTGAGCTGCTCTGTGGGTGCTGGGAACTGTACTTGGGTCCTCTGCCAGAGTAGTAAGTGCTCTTACCCACTGAGCCATCTCTCCAGGCCATCACTAGTCAAACTCTTTTTAAAAAGATATTTTATTATTTTTATTTTATGTGTATGCGTGTATTGCCTGCATGTAGGTAAGTGCACCTGTGTTGTGCAATGCCTGCAGAGGTCAGACAAGGCTGTTGGATCCCGTGGGACTGGTTTTTAAAAAATATTTATTATTATTATTTTTTTATTTTATATGTATGAGTAATATTGCCTGCATGTATGTAAGTGCATCCATGTTGTGCAATGCCTGCAGAGGTCATAAGAGGGTGTTGGATTCCCCTGGAACTAGAGTTACAGATGGTTGTTAGTGGACACATAGGTTCTGGGAATGGAACCCAGGTCCTCTGCAAAAGCAGCCAGTGCTCTTAACCACTGAGCCATCTTTCTAGCCCCTCATTATTCAAACTCTTGATCACACTGTGAGGGTAAGGGGCTAGAGAGATAGTTCCTGGGTAAGAGTACTTGCTATGTAAGTATGCACTCATACAAAAAGTGGGCACAGCTGTGTTGCATAGCACTGTGGGGGACAGGGATAAGAGAATGGAAGGGACTTGCTAGCTGCCAGCCTAATTCCAGATTTAGTAAGACACTGTCTCGGAAGAATAAGACAGAAACTGATTGAGCAGGACACTTGGTGTCTCCTCTGACTGCACACACATGCACATATCTCTTCCCCCAATAATAAATTTTAAAAAAATTGTGAGGGTAAAAAATATATTTTCAGTTGTGGAAGCTCACAGAACAGTTACCTGCTATGTATCTTTCCTCAGAAACCCCAGAAAAAGGAAGGAATATGTAGAAAGATTATGAGGTGGGAACTGAAGACATTTTTAGACAAGAGGAAAGCTCAGGGAATTCCCAAGATGACAGCTATGCAGCAGGCCTCACAAGATTAGCACACTTAAGGACACTTTAAGTGTACTTAAGGAGGCTAGAGAGTTCTAGGGTAGGGAGATGCAAGAAAAGCTAAAGTCAAGAGACAGTCTGCTTGTATTTGACCATTAGAGATTTTTTTGTTTTGTTTTGTCAGAGTATAGGGATCGAAACACAGAAAAATCAAACAATTAAAAAATAAAAGCAAGGCAAATATTACACTTTAATAAGCAAAGGATTATCCTTCGTCCAAAAAATTAGGAAGTAAAACACAAGTCAATTCAGGGTTTTATGGTTACAGTAACACAAATAGGTATCACTCACTAGCCAAGCATTGTGATATAACTGTATTAAATGAATGGAGGGTAATTTTATGTACATTTGCTGTGTGTGTAAGAGGAAATGATTAAGTAAGGCAGTATAAGACAGTAAATTTTCATCTTCTATAGGGCATCAAAAGATAACTGAGCTAAAACATCAAGAATTCGTGTAAATGAAAGTGAACAATACTAGAATAATTTATACTTGAGGGTAGAGGATATGGCAAAGTGAGGCAGGTTGTTACTGCTTTCTCTAATAAGCGTTGCAACAATTTAAACTGTCTTTTCCAATTATTTCTACATAGTATTCTCAGAAAAACAAAGTTAAGCTACAAATAACAAAAACTATAAATGAATTCTAGGAGTTTAAAAATAAAAATCACCTTTAACTTTTAAACTATGGATAATCACTGCAATCATCTCTTGAAGAAGGGAGAATACATACATAGCTCACATCAGTAGCTATTATTAAGAGTGCTTTAGTCCAAAATTCTCCCCATATGCATAATGTAAATAGGGAACATGCCAAAGATCAGATTAGACTGAATTTGTATTATTGTAAACAACAGGAAGCTCTTCAGGAATACATACAAATCAAGTTGCTGTTTCAAAGGTACAGTTGGCATGAGGGAAATTACCTGAAGAAAGTCACGAAGAACTGTACCAGGTCCATAAAATTGCTGTGCTGGGAGAAGGCAATCTGTGGCAGAGAAACAGGTGGTGGGTTATATGGGCTATAAGACAACACCACTGACTCAGCCTCCTCTGGATTTAAAAAATTGTGCCTCAAGTTTTGTTACAGACTATGATCTGACAACCAATAGATTATCATTTCAAACTCAGTAACTTTATTATAAATTAACAGTTTTTTTTAACCAAGAATGCAAAAAATTGTTAATGCATTTCAACAAATCTAAGACACCACTGACTGAAAAAGGCAAACATTTTGGATACTATGAAGGAAAAGTGCTGCAAATAATACTCTAAATCACTGGTTTTTGTGACACACTATATAATTCAGAATTAAGCACAATAGTCATAACATTTTAATTAAATTTTTTTATTATTTTTATGTGTATGAGTGTATTGCTTGCATGTGCATATAAGTGCACCATGTGTCATACGATGCCGATGGAGGTCAAAAGAGAGCATCAGATCCCCTGGAACTGGAGTTATGGATGGTTGTTAGCCAGGAACCAAACCCAGGTCCTCTTCAAGAACAGCCAGTGCTCTTAACCACTGAGCCATCTCTCCAGCCCCAATAGTCATAACCTTCTTATCATACATTAATACCTACTACTGACCTGATGTCACTGGCTATTTGCAGTAAGTTAAAATTTTATTTATTGAGTTTTATGTGTTTATGTGTTTTGCCTACATGTGTGTAAGTGCACTATGTGCATGTGATGCCCATGGAGGCCAGAAGAAGATGTCAGATCCCCTGGAATTGGAGTTATGGATGGTTGTTAGCCACCATGTGGGGGCTGGACCATGTAGGTGCTGGGAACTGAACCTGGGTCTTCTGCAAGTGCACTCAGTGCTCTTAACTGCTGATCCATCTCTCTGGTCACTGATGCTATGTTTTAAAGGGACCGGAGCCCTTATTAGAAGGATAACGATATAGCTGAGAATCCTTCATCTAAAATTTTTGGGACTAACAACTAGTATTTTGGGGGGGGGGTTGGGAACATTTGCCTAGAATTTACCAGCAGTTGAGCATCCTGAATCAGGAAATTTGAAATCCATATAATTTCATTTAATTTAAAGGCTGGCCTTGAGCTCACAATTCTGCCTTAGCCTCCCAGTGCTGAGATTATAGATATGCATCATCATGCCTAGCTAATCAGACACTTTTTGAGCAGTAGTTTCAGATTTTAGATTAGGGGTGTCCAACCTACACCACAAATGAAGCAATTACTGAATAAGGTGAAACTGCTTCACTAAAGACAGTAAATATGATAAGAACCAAAGCTGAATCGGTGAGATGGTTCAGCACACTCAGCACGTACTGCACAATTCTGATGACCTGAGTCCAATCCCTGGAACTCATAGAGAACTCTGACCTACACACCTACACACACACACACACACACACACACACACACACATACACACACACACCCCATAAACACATACTTATACAATAATACATAATTTTAAAAAGAATTAAGGGGCCGGAGAGATGGCTCAGTAGTTAAGAGCACTGGCTGCACTTGCAGAGGACCCAGGTTCAGTTCCCAGCACTCTATCTCCTTCTGACCTCAGTGGGCACTGCAAGCATGGGTGCACTTACATTCATGCAGGCAAAAGACTCATACACAAAAAATAAACATAATAATGTTTTTTAAAATTTTTATTTATTTTTATTTTATGTGTATGAGTGTATTGCCTGCATGTATGTGAGTGCACCTGTGTTGTGCAATGCTGCGGAGGTCAGAAGAGGGCTTCAGATTCCTCTGGAACTGGAGTTAAGGATGGTTTGTAGCCGCCATGTGGGTGCTGGGAATTGAACTCGGGTCCTCTGCAAGAGCAGTCAGTGCTCTTAACTGCTGAGCCATCTCTCCAGCCCATAATAATAAGGGTTTTTAAAAATTAAAAAAAAATAATCAAGAAAGGTGTGGGAGAAAGGCTTGAGCCTAGGGTGATATCGCAACTGTCAGGGTCACATGGTTTCCAGGTATCCAGGCTCTGTAATCTGAAACCCAGTATGCTAATGAGGCATCCCACCCTCTATTCTGTGATAGGATGTTAAGTCTGTTATGCTAATAAGGTATCCTACTTGCTGTACTGTGATAGGATGCTAAACTTGTTATGCTAATAAGGTATCCTACTTGCTGTGCTGTGATTGGACCACCACCCCTATATAAGCTTGTGCCTTCCTGCAATAAAGCAGACCTGTGTCACTGAACCTGGTCTCCTGTGTCTGAATGCAGCTCTGCTGACACAGTTTCTTCACCAGCCCTGGGGTCCAGGACTGGGCAAAAGCAGTGAGGGAAGGAGGCAGCACAAGGCAAGCAAAAGAGCTGCCTCAGCACCAAGCGAGCAGAAGAGCAGCCTCAGCCCAGGGCGAGCGGAGGAGCAGCCTCGACGCCCGTGAGAACGAAGGAGCGGCACCCTCGAGAACGGAAGAGGAGCCTCCGCTGGCAGTGACTGCAGAAAGGAATGATTACTGTGCTACTGTCTTAATTCCATTGACCCTGCCCTTAACCTGTGGTGCAGATGATACTTTATTTCATGCTACAGCAAGTGCTCTGTCACTGAGCCACAGCCCAGCCCTCATGCGTGCCAGGCTCAGTTCCCAGCACCCACATGATGGCTAATAATCCTCTGCTACTGCAGTTCTAGGGGATGTGACACCCTCTTCTGGCCTCCACAGGCACTGCATACGAGTGCACTTACATGCAGGCAAAACTCTCATACACATAAAATTTTTAAAAATACCTTTAAAAGAGAAGCTTTTCCTCAGTGTTTATACTAATTACTGTATGCCAAAGCCTGTGCACACAGTCAGGGCCACCTTGGTGCCATACCGCCACCTGTTGCCAGAGAGGTCCTTCTGAAACACTAATCTGTGGTCACTTCCTGACTTAAAATATTTCAGTGACTCCCAGTAGTTATCAGATGGCAGTTCATACTCCTCAGCTTAACTCTTAAGCCCCAGTCTCTTTAGACTTTCTTTTTTTAAAAGACATGCTCCCCCTGCCTAGGCCAAGGATGTCCTTGAACCTCTGGACCTCTGATCCTTCTTCCCCTACCTCCCAAGTGCTAGGATTACAGGAATGTGACACTACTCTTGGTTTATGCTGTTAGGGATGGAACCCAGGGGTTCCTGCATGCTAAGTAAACACTCTTCCAACAACCATAGAGTAGCCCAGCTCTCAACTTCTTGATCACAAGCACTATCGGTTCTACTGAACTGCTGTCAGTTTCTGAAAGCAACTGGTCTTCCTTTCTTTCCACTACAAACATTCCTATTCCTCTGCCTCATGTTCCTTAGGACTCAGCTCTGGTATATTGCTCAGGGAGCATGGCCATTCCCTCCCCTAATATTTTTGAGGAACATGTGGGCACACCTCCAAAACTAGCATTGAGAGACTCCAGCCGTCCATTTAGGGCTGCTGTTCTGGATCAGAAATTCTAGTGGGTAAGCAGGCTCCCAGCTATGGAGATCATAGGAATAAGATCTGCTACAGATGAAGATTCACTCATCCCAGCCATGGTGGTATTCCCAGATGGCAAGGACTAGGAAGACGGTCCAGATGAAACCAGAGGGGATAACGACATTAAAGAAGAGCTATGCATGATGCCACATGCCTTTAATCAGTAACCGAGGCAGGAGAATCCCAAGTTCAAGGTTATACAGTGAGATCTTGTCTCAAATGGAAAAAAAAAAAAGAGCTGAGAAGAAACAACAAAAACACAAGTGAAAATCAAGAGAGGAAAATTTCAAGGATAATAAAAGGTTGGGGAGATGGTTCAGAAGGTAAGAGCACGTGCTGTGCAAGCATAAGTACTTGAGTTTGATCCCCAGCACCCACATTAAAAAAAGTGAAGCACAAGCCTACAACCCTAGCACTTTTGGTTTGGAGACAGGAGGAGTGATAGGACTTGCTGGCAGCCAGCCTAGCTCCAGGTTCAGTGAGTGACCTTGTTTTAACGGAAGAGGGGGAAGAGTGACAGAGCAGGCCACCTGTCATCCTCCTCTGAATTCTCTGCATGCACTGGTATGCACACATGCACACACATGCTCACAGATACCATGTATACATACACCACATGCATACACACCTTGGCCAGAGATGTTTCTGTTTGTAGTGGGTGATAGTTAATGCAGAGACTCATAACTAAGACAAAGCACTAAGAATAAGTAACTTTTGAGTGTTTAGTCCTAGACAGGACATCTACATCACCCTTTCCAAGGGAACAGTGCTGAAGAGGACGTGGCAAGAATGTAAGAGCCAGAGGATGGGAAGGAGTGCTGTAAAATGCTGTCTTTTGGACATAACATGACTATTATCCACATGAACTCACAGCAGTGGTGGTTATCTGCACAAGACCTGCACAAACCTGGGCCTATCAACACTCTAGCATGGGTGAGAGAGGGGATCATAAGGCTCCACTTCTCTTGGAGGAATGATATGAAGTTAATGCAAGGGGAGGGGAGTCATACAGTGGCATAGCCACTGGTAAGTTGGGCTCTATGTGCAAAAGTACTTCCACAAAGCCTGACAACCCGAGTTTGATCCCCAGAACCCACATGGTGGAAGGGGAAACTTAACTCTCACAAATTGTCCCCTAATCTCCACATGTGTGAAACCCTCATGGAAAATAAATAAACGACTAACCCATCACATATGCAAGCAACCCCAATTAGATGCAGTGAGGAGGAGGAAGAAGGAGGGGGAGATAAAGAGGATAATGAGGAAGAATATGATCAAAGCACAAATATATGTGTGTGTGAAAGAATAAGTTGAAAAATGTTCTAAGGAAAAAAAGAATTTTTCTTGATGAAAACCACAAAACCCTTAAATACAGTGTGAGACAAAGAAAGACTCATACTTTAATAACAGTTTATTTGGGTTGACACAGTTTATTTGGGTCTCATGTGATTCAGTCTGGTCTTGAATTCCTGATTGTGCTGGACAGCTTTAGTGTCAACTTGACACACCTGGGTTGAGGGAGCCTCAATTGGGGAATTTC